TTGAGATATTGAACAGAGTGTGTCATTTTCAAAATGCTGAGCAATTACAATAATTAATTCAAGACATCAGAATCATAAACATATTAAACTGTATCAAAGCAAAAGTCTGAAGCACCACCAGGGTCGTGGGCCCTACAAACATGCCTCCTGAAAGCAACAGCCAACAGCATGATCCCCACATGTAATTTCTGAGGACACCACGGGGATGATATTCATGGTTTCAGGTGGGTTGGACAAATACTCAGGCCTGGATTGACTGTGGAAAATTAGTAATTACACGGTTTTGCTATGGTATAGTTGACTTCCTAGCAATTAAAAATACATATATTTGGATTGACTTTCAAAAAGGTTTAACAGGAAACCTTTTAGAAAGGTTTAACAGGTAGCTGAAGTAATATGTGTTTTACTTCTGCAGCAAGAAGGATCTCTCTTCAAATGTTCTGACTGTAACCAGTCAAGGCTATACCCCCACACACACACACACACACATACATGCTGCATTACTGGCTGCAGGAAGACGTTACCTCTGATCCCTCTACATAGGCATTACAGCCCAGCTGGAGTCGGTGACATACAGCCTCAGGCTGTGCACAGACACAGCTCTCAAAGCTGCCAAGGGTTTTTTGGTTTTGGTTTTGGTTTTTGTTTTTTGTTTTTTTGGTTTTTTTTTTTGTTTGTTTGTTTGTTTTTTTTTTGTTTTTGTTTTTTGTTTTTTTGTTTTTTTGTTTTTTGCTTGTTTGTTTGTTTTTCTCGTCACTCATAAAAGGTCATGGCTCCTGCCTCCCTGCTAGAGCATAGCAAGGCCTTCTCTGAGTTTGGCAGGGAGAGAGGTACCTGCTAATTCATTAGCTTTGTGGCTCCAATTCTACAAAGACCAGGTTCAAGATTCCTATCTTTACCCTGTAGCAAATATGTCATCAGTGGGGAGGCATGTGTTTGGTTTCTCTGGGTTCTCTGAGGACAGTCCTCAGAGTCCCTATAATTATGCTGCCAATTTGCTAAAGGATCATGAAGCCATAGTGTTTTGGCTGCTGTATTTTCCAATGTTGTTTTTTACTTAAACACACTCAAAGACTTCTGCATTGTGAATAGGGGGTGGGGTAGATAGGATGCTTTCTTGAATGGGTATAAAGTTGAATTTGAGTGTTTTCTCAAATTTCCTGGAAAGGCCAATTGCAAACAACTTTCACTTTCTGGGAGTTCACCAGATAGGAGGTTTGATATTCTCCAGCATGGTGTCAAGATAAATGTAACTGATAGGACAGGCACAACTGTTTAACTGTGTTGATATGTGTGTGTGGAGCTCCCTGATTTGACTAGACCCCAAAGTTCCTAGCTACATCTCCCAGGTTCTAAGATTGCAAGGCATGCTCCCCTGCACCTGGACTTTTGTTTATATGGGTACTAGGGGATTTAAACCAGGCCCTCATGCTTTCCTCATGGCAGGTGGTTTCCTCACGGAGACATCTCCCCAGCCCTGAGTGCAAATATCTGATGCTCCTTGATTCTATGTTCCTTACCATCAGCAGCTGCAGGAACATGAGATTTCCTAAAATCAGTATGCCTACTCTGAGACACGGAGCTGCATGGACTCTGTATGCCACCAAGAGCACAGGCCACAGTCAGGCTCCATGTTTTCCATGTGGCTCTGATGGCTTTCTGTCAGTCAAGCAAGACAGGAATGCATCCAGGAAGGATAAACCCTCCCTTCTACACACAAACCACATCAAAGTAGCAACATGAGGATAGCTACCTAGCTAGTTTCCAGTGCTGTTATAAGGACACTCTTAAGTCAGTGGTTCTCAACCTATGGGTCACAACCCCTTTGACAAATTTTCATCTCTAACAATTATTTACATTATCATTCAAAACAGTACCAGATTGCAGTTATGAAACAGCAAGAGAAATCATTTTATGCTTGTGAGGGTCACCACAACATAAGGAACTATACAAAAGGGTTGCAGCATTAGGAAGCATTAGGATCATTGTGCTAAGTATGCTTCCCAGGTGGGCCTGCCATTCTTCCTGTGAGTGTGCGCATGTGGTATTTGTGCCCTAAGTAAATAAACTACAAAGAAATTAAGGACATAATGAAGAGAAGGCTCTAAATGGACTGTGGCCTCCTTGGATGGATGAATGTGTTCTAGTCCAGTCTTCTCAAACTTGGCAAGACCCATGCTGACCAATGTAACCAAAGCTGAGAGCCAGGAGGCAGTGTGATTTTCCTATACACATGTGTCCCTACACTTGACCTCAGAGCAAAGTCATATAGAAAGAGAGTGATTGGCTCCTCTGAGGTCCTCAGCCCCATCAATTTTGACATTTGGAATAAAGAAGTCCCCATGGTGAAGTCGATCTTAGTACCCCTAGTGTTCAGAATCATCAGTAGGCCCCATCTGGGGTGCTCTGACACCCATCTATATCCTCAAAACCATCACCAGACACTTCCAAGGTTAGCTAATTGAAAGGAATGACATGCACACCACAGCCATACACAACTGTTCTCCCAACACAGAAGGATGGGAAACCCATCCAGAAGGCTCCATGAAGACAGGGCCCTGCTTGCCTACAACTTGAATGAGTACTTTAGGGCCTTCTCTGACCCACTCAGTGACCCTGCCATGAGACATATCTGCTATATGCAAATCCCACTTCAGTTCACAAGTAAGAGATGCAGAAAACTTAGAAACTGTGGTAGCCTACAGATATGTACTGTCCCCTCATATATATGTGAAAGGTGGGTCCTGGCTTGGCCCCCATGTGTCTGACAAGTTGGACCAGTCCCTCACAGACAGGTCACTACATGTACACTGGTGCTTTCTTCTAACCAAGCTTAAATCTGATCAGAGACCAGAATCCAGGCAAGGTACACCAATGCCAGCCACTCTATGGAGACATTGTACTGGAGACATTGTACTGGGAACTGAGATTTCTGTAGGTCTGAATTTCAGACACAGATTCAGGCCATCCACATCTCCCCCAAAAAAAAAAATCTGTGCAGCCCTTTGGAAAAGCAATTATAGACCCTGATGTCTAAGGCTTTTAAACAAGGCTCTCAGAGTCCAGCAGATGGCTTCTGCTTGTTTCTGTCCAACCCCTGACAAATGCTGGAGCCCTACTCTCAGAAGCTGCCAGTGACCACGCTCAATGAATCCATATGGGAGAGCCCCGCTCACTCAAGGCTCTTCTTATGTGTGTTTGAGTGGATGACTCCCTTTTCACACTGACCTCTGAAGCTGAAACCCATCACAGAGGTCTTGCCATTGCCCTTTATATAGCTCCTCTGCTGTCCTGGACCACAGCATTACCCCGTGGAGATTCAGAGACGCCAAAGGCAGTGCCCACCAGCAGTGTTTCTAGCCACTGCCAGCCTCTCTACCCTGATCAGTTTCCTATCTACACCTTGCCTTGTCCAGCAATCACACATGGGAACTTGCTGTATTTTTTTCCTTGTCCCCCAAACATGTTCTGAATTAGTTTTAAAATGTTTAGGTTGTTGCCTTTTACCATCATTATCTGAGAAGCACAAACACCAATTCTCAAAAATTTTATAGACAAAAAAAGAAATCACCTTTCAAGGCATGTGGCTTTTCTCTGTCTGTGTCCCATGCTGAGCACATAGCATTCCTATTTTAGAATTAAGCTCCAAGATCCCTTTGGTTGCACTGTGGGTCTTCAGCAAATATGGGCTGAAATTATGTTCCATCCATGGGGCAGAGAGGAAACCCATGTCACTGTTCCCCAGATTATAGAGTCCAGACTCCAACAAATGGTCATCAGTAAAGGGGAGAGTAAAGGGGGCTGCCAGTCATTGGTGGAGGGGTTCAGGAAAGAGCTGGGGAGACAGGAAGAAGTAGAATGGGAAGATAGCATAGGTGGTGCAGGGAGGTCCAGAGAGGGTGGGGACAGATGTGGGACAGAGCAGTGTTTCAAGAGTCTGAACATCCCACCTAGCACATGGACCTCAGAGTCTGAGACCAGAGAAATGAGGGACAAAAGAGATACCACACCGATGTTTCCATCAGTCACACTTCAGAACCAACTTAGTGTGAGGCAAGGGAGAGCTGGGATTCCAAAAGGCACCCAGAAAATCTCCAAGGGGGATGCCATTCCATGGGGTGAATCACATACAGAAAACGGTGCTGCGGGCAACAACATGGGCTTTCCGAGTTTGGGAACCCAGGACCTAGGGAGTGGAGGGTGAGGAGTATGAGTCTTGGGTTATTCATGAAGGAAGTAGAGGATGATGTCGGCATTGTGGAGCAAGACCCCTTCCATGTCTGTTATCTGAATCTGAATCTGAAAGAACATTTTCACTCCCTAAGTGATAAAGCTCTTTAGAGAAAAGAAGAAGAAAAGGGACTTCAGGTGTCTCCTCTGGGGCAGGCAAAGCTCAGCCTGGTTTGTGGTACCCATCTCTCCACCAGTTTCTACCCTGAAACTCTTCCCACCACTTGTCAGCCTGAACATGGTGCCATGATAACCTCACTTCATTTCATTTGTCAGGGTTAAATAATAGCTACTCATTATGAAGAGTTTTCTTTAATACAATCAGAAGAGAGAAAACTGCCAATATTGTCACTCAACGTAAGTTTGACTGACACTGGTTTCTCACACCAGTGATTCCCTGTGTGTGCATTGTATTCTTGTCTCTGAATCAGGGCTCTGCCTGCTTTCCTCACCATGACCTCTGTGAAGTCAGTGGTGTTGAGTGATCTGATCTGCCCTGCACACACACACACACACACACACACACACACACACACACACTTCTAACTTGCACTGCTGGATACTTAGGTCCTTTTATAATTTGTTTTTCTGTCATTACATATATATCCACACAGATATCTTTAAGCACAACAGGATCTTGTCCATTTTGCCTGACTTTCTAAGGCCAGATGCCCAGAAACAGACTACCTCGGCTGTGAGAAGTGTTCACGTCAGAGCTATGGACCAGCTCCATGGAGGAATTTAACTAGTTGATCCTTCCTCTCTTATAGCTGTCTCCTACACAAATTATAAGAAGACGCCTCCCCCGGTGCCTCCACGGACCACCTCCAAGCCTCTGATTTCAGTGACAGCCCAGAGCAGCACAGAATCTACACAGGATGCCTACCAGGACAGCCGTGCCCAGAGAATGTCCCCCTGGCCCCAAGATGGCCGTGGCCTCTACAACTCCATGGACAGTCTGGACAGCAACAAGGCCATGAATTTAGCTTTGGAAACAGCTGCAGCTCAGTGCCATGCCGCTGATACTCAGAGTGGCTCCACAAGGACCAGTGACAAGGCCATCCTGGCATCCAAGGCTGAAGAGCTCCTCAAAAGCCGCTGCTCCTCCATCGGAGTCCAGGTAGTTTCCCCTGACCACCCTCTCTGTGCTGGCATAGGTTGAATCAAAACCCAAGTCACAGCCCCGAGTCTGTTCCCCCTTAACAGAAGCAGGACAGCAAAGGCCGAGAGGCCACATGGGCCTGCTACAGCATGACAGACCCCAGAGCAGAGCCCACAGAGATGAGACTCATGTCCTGCCCCAGTACCTAGGGAACCCCCAGAGGAGCTGTCCTCAGGGCTGATGGCTAGGTAGGTGATTTGGATAGGTTCTTCAGATGCCTATAAAGGGGGTGAGGGGATGTTGTCACAGTGACTTATTGAAAACCTTTAGGTCTTCAAAGAGTGTTGGGAATAAAGAGGCAAACAGAACCAAGTGCTGTGGTGTGAATTGAGGGTAGCCAACTGGGACTGTGTGGGGCTGGGCCATTTCTCACACAGCCATCTGTCCCAGGGATCTCTACATATAAGAGCAGCACCCTATTATTAGAGACCTTGCAGGAGTGCCCCACCATCCCGTTAGGCCTACCAACCTAGCTGGCCTTGCCACTCGCCAACTGACTGACTCAGGGAGCCTGACTTAGGTGTAGGGAAGCACTCTTAATGCGGAACAGGGGCCTGTTTCACAAATGGTCTCAGGTGACCTCCTCTAAGCCCTAGTGGACATGGTTGCACAGGCCAAGTTTCACTGAGATAGTTTGCTTCTTGCCTTTTGTATCTCCACTCAGCCTGTATCTGGCAGGTTTTAAAATCATAATAATTAATTTTCCACACACACACATACACACCCTGCAAGGAGGTACACAGAGCTGGAAGTGATAGCCCCATACAGGACTGGGGGGCAGGCAGAAACCAGGGGGGATGTCAGCCCACTGGCCTGGGTCCTCGAGCCAGGTCTCCACACTGTGGCTTCATTGTTTTGTTTAGGATTCTGAATTCCCTGATCATCAACCCTACCCAAGGTCAGATGTAAGTATCCAACATCTCCAAATCCAAGTTCGCATGAAGTTTTTTTCTCTCTTCTTTGGATTCTTCATATGACTGCTCTTGTCGACCTCTCTGTCCTGGCTCTATGTGCCAGGCACTCTGCTGGGTGCTTCACACTGTTGCACAGAACCCTGGCCAACCCTTAGGAATAACTCAGTCTGAACCCCAGGGAAAGACACAACCTGCAAGCCTGAGGGGGTCTTAGAAACTGGAAAAGTGTGAGACATTCACCATGTCTCCATCTCTAGTGCAACTGTGGTAGAGAGCCTGTGTTCTCCAAATACACCAGGACACATTCACTACCAGGTATTCAAACTCTCCCTGCTATTCTTCGCTACAGCTGTCTACATGTGTCCCACCCAAAGTCTCACCTCTGTGTAGCTAAAAGAGGTGGGTGCAATTTCAGGAGCTCATAAAGAGGGATCATCATGGGGCTGGAGAGATGGCTCCGTGGTTACAACACTGCCCACTCCTCCAGAGAACCCGTTTAGTTTCCAGCAACCACATGGTGTCTCACAATCATCCATAATGAGCTATGGTGCCTCTTCTGTCCTGCAGGGATACATGCAGGCAGAACAGTGTGTACATAATAAGTTAAAAGAAAAAAATGGCTCATCGTGCTCTAAAGAGACACAATACTCCTCCTAGCTGGCCTGCTCCTGAACTCACACAGGCTGTCTCCTCCTCACAGCTGGATCCCACACACCTCTGGCCAAGTCTCCTCCTCTGTGAATGTTTCCAGGCACTCTCCTCCCTCACCGTGTTCTCTGGAGGCTGGTTCCATGCCTCCTGCCTCTTGGTACCCTAGCACCTAGCACAGAGCCTGGCACATACCGAGCTCTCAGTTCATGTTGGGTATGGAGTGGATGGCTGTATCGGTGGTGAATGCTTGGTGGATATATGTGTAAACACCATGACACCAGTTGGTAAATTCATTCAACTTCCTCTTTCAGTGGAGAAAGAAAGAAAAAAAAAATTACAGGGACCTGGAGTTTAAAAAGCTGAACTCAAAACACAGTGGAAGAAATGTAAGCATCAGGGTAACAGGGAAATGTGGCCAAGTCCCAACTCCACCTGTAAGAATGAAGACCCCAAGGAGTGACCTTTTAAAACAAGTGAAAGGCCGTCCATACACATCCAGTACTAGAGACAAGCAGATGCTTGGGAGACAGGAAACAGCAAACATAACAAGCAAATAAGCTTGTACTGTGCCCCTGCCCCTAACTCTCTGACATGTCCTCACTTAATCCTCACTAGTGACCCTGTTGACCATGTGTCATTAGTCTCAATTAACAGAGGGAAACAGTTGACCAGGGAGGGTAAGTGCCTTGCCTAAGTGTGTGTGGCTGTAAGTGCCACCGTAATGGCTGAAGCCCAGGAAGTGGCTTCCCACAGCCCTAACAGAGCTATGATGCCCAGGGCAATTCTGCATCAGAGGACCCTCTCTTAGCATCCCCCATATACCTGCTGGGATTATCCAACCTGCCTGACCCAGGAACGGCCTTATTCCATCCTTGGCTTGTAGAGAAAGGCTGTCAACATGGTGTCTAGCTCTAAAGGGCACTACTTCTGGCCTGGCCCAGACCCCTGCCCAGGTACTCAGGGTCTCAGCTAGGGTTTTGTTGCTATGAAAAGACACCATGACCATGGAAATTCTTATAAAGGAAACATTGAATTGTGGTAGCTCGCTTACCATTTCAGCAGGGAGCAAGGCTATGTGCAGGCAGACATGGTGCTAGAGCTGAGTCCTACATCTTGACTCAGAGGCAACAGGAAGTTGACTGACACATTGAGACTGAGAAAAGAGACCTCAAAGCCCACCCCCACAGTGACACACTTCCTCCAACAAGGCCACACCTCCTAATAGTGCCACTCCCTTTGGGGGCCACTTTTTTTTTCCAAACCACCATACCCAGAGCCTTCCTTCTCTGAGGAAACTTGGGCAAAGAGCCTGCAAATGCACACAGCATACAACCTGTAAATGTTGACCTCTCGGATGAACATTATGACCCATTGGCTTTTGGAGTCACTGATCCTATTCTGCAGCTATCATGTGACTCTGTACAGTCAAAACTAGGATCCAGGGTCCAGGAGAGATGGCAAAGGATAGGAACATGTCAGGCAACTCATAACAGCCTATAGCAGCTCCAAGAGATCCAACGCCTCTGGCCTCTGCAGGCATGCACTCCCATGCACATAGACACAAACAGGCACAAACATACACATAATTAAAAAATACAGGAACACTGCTTAAAAACTAGGCTCCAGAATCTAAATGGAGCCTGCTGCGCTCTGCACAGTGTGGTTTCTGTAAAGGTCTTTACATGGCCATCCCTGGTACCCTACCTCTCTGACTGCCCAACTTGGAGTAAACATGTACTCCACACCCCCTGTTCCTTAGATGGTTGGACTCTACACGGTGAATTCAGCCTTGGAATCACATGGTTGGCTCTTCAGAGCTCTGGACTTTAAACTACATCTGGAGCTGACATTTCCAGGCCTGGGCTGAGAAGAGGAGGCTGTGTCCTCTTCAAGTACCTCTACAGGTTATCAGACCTAGAGCTACCTGTCATCTGGTTCCCTCACTCTTCACCATGATGGGCCTATCCAATCCTTTCCTGTTTTTGTTTCTATTTGGTTTTTGGTTTTATGTTTATAAGTGTCTGATATGGAAAGGCCTTCATTTTGTGTGAACGTGTGTTCTTGTGAAGCTGCCTGGGTAGAAAGCAGGAAGTCTTCATTCCCATGGGTCTGGGTATCCCTCTGCCATGGGAACAATCACCATAAGGTCCTTTCCAGGCTGCCACCAGGAGCAGCACCTCAGGAAGCTTTTGTGACAATTCCTGTTGAGGGTCCTACTGAGACAACTGACCCTACTCTGCACTCAGCATATGGTATGATCACACATACACACATACACACACACACACATGCACACACGCACACACGCATGCACGCACGCACGCCCACACACTCTGCTTACACTGCTGTTAAGTTGGAACCCCCAAGCTCCTCAATAAGACATCCTGTTTAGCTTCATTTCTTAGAATGGGCCCCTCAAGGAAACATGAATTTAATCTCAAAAGCAATATGTCTGCCTTGCTGTAGGGAAGGCTTAAAGACAGCCCTCAGAGCTTGTCTATTTGGAAAGCTAAGACTACAGAGCCGGGCTTAGGTGTACTCCTGGGCGATCTCACTGCTCCTGGTTTCTACCTCAGGATCCAGCTGCTTTGCCGCAGTCTGGTGCCAAGCATGGCCTGGTGTGAGAGAAAATGTGGGTACAGGGAAAGAATGCCTTGGGCATCTGCCTACCACTTTCCCTCTTGGGCATGCAGACATCCACACAGTGTGTGCATACATGCACATACTCAGAGACACATGTAGACCATCTCCATCAAATTCCTTATTTCTCAAGCAGATCATATCCACAGATGCCATACCAGCCCTATCCTCATGGTTCCCACTCACTGCTTCCCTTTGCAGGCAGCCCGGCAAGAATTGGGAGTAGCCATCCCTAGAAGTGTAAAGGCATCTCTCAGTCACTCGGAATTCTTGTCTGTGTGTTGTTCCTCACTGTTTATTGCTCCCACCCTGACACAGCTTCTGCCTCCAGAGTTGCTCTAGACTTTACTGATTCATCTTTCTCTGGATGAGTTCCCCATCCTAGGTGGATCTTGTAGATGTAGATATATGCAGACATTTTGCCCAGTGTTTTAAATGTATCCACACTGGTGAGCAGGTTTCCTCAGGAAGCTCCTTGGTTTCTCTTCCCTGTGGTCATAATGGTTCTCCTTAACCCTGCATTTCCTCCTCTTAGGGTTTCTGATGTTGGCAAATCTTGAGCTCCTTTTGGGTACATGTTGTCAACAGCCCTTCAGCCTTTGCCTTCCACCATGGATAGCTTCCATTTTTAAAAAAGAATGGTTTCATATGACAACTTCTATGAAATCGGCAAAACTCATCCAGTGTGCATCCCTTTGACCTAACATATGTGACTCTTTCCTGGGGGCCCTCAGTTGCACTGAGAAATTATAGAGTTTGTTTTGGACCACTCTCCCTACTGGTCTTTGTCCTGTGAAGTGTTGGATATTCCACATTTTTAAACAAAGAAGAAAAAATTCAACAGAACCCAAGAGTTTCCTAATAGACAACTAATGTGGAGCAGAACTGAGGGGTTCAGAAGCATGTCTTTCTATGTTACCCCAAAAGTGACAACTTGCATTAGAAGGGAAAACTAGGGGCTTTGGGGCTCTCATTCTTTTTGTTTGTTTAGTTTTGTTTTTCAAGAGAGAGTTTCTCTCAGTAGTTATGGCTGTCCTGGAACTCACTCTGTAGACCAGGCTGACCTTAGGCTCAGAGATCCACCTGCCTCCACCTCCCAAGTGCGGGGATTAAAGGTGTGTGCCACCACCACACCCAGCTATCATTCTTGAGTCGCTATGTAGGATATGTCTGTGTGTATGTGCATGTGCGTATCTGTCTGTATGTGTCCTCTGTGTGTGTGTGTGTGTGTGTGTGTGTGTGTGTGTGTCTGTGTGTGTCTGTGTGTGTCTGTGTGTGTCTGTGTGTGTCTGTTTTTGTGTGTGTATATGTGTGCATGTATGTGTGTGATATATATGTATGTCTCCTAACATTGTGGCCAATGATGACTGCCAATCTATGCACTTTAGTATAATTCCACCAAAACCATTTTTTATATTTTTAACTTTACAACCACCATTTCAATAATTGCAGGGCATCCATCATCGTGACTAAATAATGATTTACTGAACGGTCCTTTCACAGCCTCTATTTTCCTACATTTCCCCTTACAAATAATACTATGATGAAGACCTCACATGGGTCAAAATGTATTAGCGTCTCTTTCAGCTGCGTTCCCAGGAGTGAAGTAAATTAGACAACTATTTTCAATATTTTTATGACAAAAATACATGCAGTTTCTACTTCAAAGCCTCTCTGAGAGATACATGTTGATTTACTTCATTCACTTTATTCCTCTCGCAATTTTACTGATATAAATCCAGACATGGAGGTGTGTGTGCCTATAATCCAAATCCTGCAAGACTGACTCAGCAAGAGAATAAAAAGTTTGAGACCAGGTTGGGTAGCATAGTAAGACCATGTCTCAAAACAAGTGGTGAAATCTTCGAAGCTGTAAAAATGACTCAACAGCCAAGGATTATATGAAGATGTTCACAGAGGTTATCTCAAGTACATTTGTAAGCAACATTACTAACAATGGCAGAAAACTAGAACTAACCAAACTATCCCTCCAGTGAAGACTAAATAAGTAAATTGGGTTTCCTTTGCGACACAGAATTGTATATGGTTAAAACACAAGGCAGAGCTAGGATGGAATTCAGTAGTAGAGTGTTGGCCTAGTGTATGCAGAGTCCCTAGGTTCTACCCCCGGAAAAATAAATGAATGACACTTGGGAGGTAGAGGAAGGCAGATCTCTATGAGTTTGAGACCAGCCTTGTCTATAAGAGCTCAACTCCAGGACAGCCTCCAAACCCACAGAGAAACCCTGTCTCGCAAAAACCAAAAAGAAAAAAAAAATGAATGAATGAATGTAGGAATGAATAAATGATAGCTCCCCTGTGCCCTGACATAGAATTTTAAATCTATTAATTCCCATTAAGGTCTTTTGTCATAAGTGCCAATATACTCTGCATGACCAGCAAGGCACATATGGTTGAGTGGGGCATGACCACATAGAAATAGGAGACAGAATGATGACCTCTAGCAGGAAGGTTAGGTTGTCATTCCTGAATGTTCTTTCTACACTGATCCTTCCCTCCTTCCAGCTATCAGAACCTGGCTGCACTGATCTCTCATCCAGAGTCTCACAGGGTCAGGAGACTCCAGCCCCCACCCTTTGATTAGCAATGTAGGCACTCTGAGACTCCCATGGCTTCCAGGGGTGCAGAGCAGAGCTCTGAGCTCATGGGCACCTGGGCTGGAATCCTGGCACTGCCCCCCAATAAGCTGAGTGCCCTTGGGCAGGTTACTCACCTTTCCTGGTTCTCTAGGGACACCACTGGGGTCTTTGTGTGGATGATAAGCAACAAAGCTTAGGACACTGAGCCAGTATCTGGCTCCTAGTCGAACAAATTATACACAAATATGACTGCTGTCCCCTGGCCTTATGGGGCCTGAAGGAGCCACTGCAGATCACAGTCAGGCCTGGGCCAGTGGTTTCTCTTCCTAACACACAGAGCACAGTGGCAAGGTGCTGACTGCTTTGTACTTCCTGGTAGTGATTTACATTTTTAAGAAAATGTGTTTTTATGTTATGACATTTGGATTTGGGTTCAACAGTCCTGTAGGTGCCTCAGATGATTCTTTGGGTAAAGAAGAGACTATCTGGGGCCTGGAAGGACTTCTAAAACTTCACCAGTCTTGGCCTCACGGAATTTCCTACACAGGGGTCCCTTGTGTAACAGCTTCCCATAGCTGACAGTCAGACAAATGTCTATTGGGTCTGTAGGAACTTCTTAGAAAACAGGGCCATGGTGAGGATGCCTGTCACCTTGTCTCTTTTGTCACCTTGAGCAGCCTGCTGGCCATCCCAGCAGCCACAAGGCTTCCTAATGTCCCCTAAGATGCTCTCATCCCCTCCCTGTGTCGTTCTGTGTGCGGCTGCAGCCATCAGTACACTACTCTCAAATGGCTTATTTGTCATTGTTAGCTGTGTTTGGCTCACACTGTCCTCACCTTCTTCACTGCAGAGTGTGATAAGAGCTTTCATGTCCTGTGACAATGCGGTCAGCAAACACTTTTTTTTTTTTTTCCTGAGCTGAACTAAGCAATTTTATCTGCATATGTCTAAAAGACTCAAGTGCAGCCTTGAGTTCAAGTAGTTATATAAAAACTCAATGAAACCCTGGTAGCCACATAATTAAACAAAAATGAATGTCTCTCTCTACCTCTGTCTGTTTCTACTGGATCAAGTGCATTTCTGCATTGATTAAACAAATACACAATTAATTACGGCAAACAAACAAGAAGAAAATAGTCACTGACCAGATTCCCTTTCTTAGGTCTAAAGTGAGATGTTCTGTGTTGAATTAGGTAGAAACAGCCACGGATTCCGACACGGAGAGCAGAGGCCTACGGGAGTACCACTCTGTTGGTGTGCAAGTAGAAGACGAAAAGCGGTAACTCCCCCTCTTCAGAGTGGCTGTGCCCCCCCCCAAGCCAGCTGCTTGCTAAACATGGGGCTGCAAGATTCCAGATCTCGCTGCAGTGGCCGTCAGTAATTCATGCTGCCTGCAGAGACAGGCCATTCATTTATACTTTCCCATTTATGTCGCTCAAGTATGAATGAACATGGGTCGTGTCTTTTTTTTTTTTTTTAAGAGGGAAGGGAATAATTCTTTTCAAAGTAATTTACCACCTATTAAAATAGCATCATAGCTCACAGCCCTGGAAGGTCAAAGTCCTTTATCCAGAATCCATTTTCAAAAGGAGAGTAGGCTGAAGGCAAGGCAAATGTGTTTCTCATCTCATAATGCTGGACATAAAGAGCGAGAAAGAGGAGAAACACAAGCAGACAGAAGGAGGGGAAGGAGAAAGAGGGTGAGCCAGATGTCAGCTACGGCCTGGAATTGTCTCATTTAGACATTTTAGACATTATAGAACACAAATGTGCATTGGTGACATATTATTTTGTGTATATGGTTTTTCAAGACAGGGTTTCTCTGTGTAGCTCTGGCAGTCCTGCAACTCACTTTGTAGACCAAGCTGGCCTTGAATTCACAGAGATCCGCCTGCCTCTGGGATTAAAGTGCTGGGATTAAACGCATGTACCACCACACCTGGCTATGTGGTATTATTTCAAAAATAGTGCAGAAAAAATATTTTCCTGGTATTAAGGAATGTATTTGCCAACTACACAGCAGTAGCAAAAAGTACCAGGGTCTATGTTGAAAGCTGCAGGTACCCTCTCCTAAGTACCAAGCTGGAGCAGTGCTCCCTGAAGAGTCTCGCGACCCAACAGAAAAGATCTGGGCTGTAAGGAAACTCAGGTTACAATCTAAAGATTTAGGCCACAGTTCATAAAGGTAGCATGTCTCCAGATGAGTGGCCCTCCACCTCGGGTCATGACCCACTTAGGGTTACATGTCAGATATCCTGCATATCAGATATTTATATTATGATTCGTAACTGTAGAAAAATTAGTTATAAAGTAGCAAAGAAATAATTTGATGGTTGGGGGTTACCACAATATGAGGAACTGTATTAAAGGGTCATGTTATTAAGAAAGTTAAGAACCACTGCTCCAGATAGAAGGTAGCCATTGAACACCCACCACTCTCCCTCACTCAGTACACCTGAGTGGTAAATGGTGTTGCCTAGTATTTGAGGGAGGTAGATACTGAAGTCCAATCATCACACCCTGTGTTCCTCAGGGCAGCACTGAAGCACGGGGAGTTGAACTTGTTGGTGGGTGTTAACGCTGAGGCTCGGGAGCATCCCATGAAGGGTCTGGGAACTGTGCTGCATCTCTCCTCTCTGCTTCCCTCCTTTTCCAGGCATGGTCGCTTCAAGCGCTCAAACAGTGTCACAGCGGCTGTGCAGGCTGACCTGGAGCTGGAGGGCTTCCCTGGACATATCACCATGGAGGACAAGGGCCTGCAGTTCGGATCCTCCTTCCAACGACATTCAGAGCCCAGTACCCCGACCCAGTATGGGGCACTGAGGACTGTGCGGACGCAGGGCCTCTTCAGTTACAGGGAGGACTACAGGACACAGGTGGACACTGTCGCTCTGCCTCCACCCGACCCCTGGCTTGAGCCATCACTGGACACGGTGGAGACCGGCAGGATGTCCCCATGCCGGAGGGATGGCTCATGGTTTCTGAAACTGCTGCACACAGAGACGAAGAGGATGGAAGGCTGGTGCAAGGAGATGGAGAGGGAAGCTGAGGAGAACGACCTCTCGGAAGACAGTAAGAGTTTGCCTTTCCCCCACGGGGGGTGGGGGGGTTGGACTGGTAGCTTCTCACAGAGGCAAACGGACGAATGCCAGTGTCAGTGGGGAGGTGCCCCCCCCCACTCAGCCCTGTGAAGCAACATAAAGCACAGAAAGATAAGCAGCTCTCATGCTCTGTGGGAAAACTCTTTGTATGTTGCTTCATTCTAGGGGGTGAGGATGAGATTAACTTGCTAACGCTTCCCCAGAGACCTGCTATACTTTTATTCCACTAACCAGTTCTCTGATCACTTAATTCGGAACATTCTTACAATTTGTTTTGTTTTTATAATCCCTGGCATTATGCCAAAGGAACACTGAAGCTAAGCAAGAATGCCCCACGGCAGGAGCAGTAGGAGTCTACCCACAGGGCCCTCAACTGAGCATGCCCAGTGCAGACCATCCAAACCCTCAGGCTCTCTGGCCCCTACTTCTCTACACAGAGAGTAAAAGCCTCAGTCTCTGCCTCCCTCTCCTTTACCTGAAGATGACCCCACACACACACACCGAGAAGTGGAGTCAAGTGCTTTGGGGTGAAGATGTACTTTCCAGAGGCTGGGCGTGGTGGGATGAGGGGAAAGGGAAGAGGAAAAGAGAGGGGATGGAGAAGATAGAGAGGGAGAAAAGCATGGGGGAGGAGGGCTAGAGGGAGGGAGAGAATCGACAGAGAAGCAGAGAGGAGGAGGGGAAAGGACAGAGAAGGGAGGGAGGGGCAGATAGAGTAGGATTCTGAAATTGTATTTATCTATATTTTATTCTGACGTTGTTATGAGGCAGTCATATTAATAAACCCAGTTCTTAAATTAGTAAGCACATTGATCAAGGAAATAGATTCAGTTAATTTAGCCAAATCAAGAAGAAAGAGCCCCTGGCTTTTCTCAGCTTTTCCTGTAACATCATATTTCTAGAAAAGGTGAAACAAAACCAGAAGACGTAAGTGTGCCTTTGTAGGCTGTGAGGATCGTGTGTGAGGTCCTGCACTGGCTGGGTCTTTGGCCTTTGCCTTCTACCATCATAGGATTCCTGAGAATGGTTTGCTTTTTTGTTTTGTTTTGTTTTTTGTTTTTTATTGTTTTGTTTTGTTTTTTAATTCTTTGGAGTCCATTAATCTGACAACCAAAAAAAAAGGGCATAAATGTCTCTAGAGCATCTCCTCACCTGCCCGGACATTTGAACTTCTGCCATTCTGGTGCATTCAGACAGTCACGATCTACCTTTGAATGTGCACATGTGGGTACAGTGGTTGCTCTGTCTGTAAAATAATAGATACAACCTTATTTTGTTGTCCATGCTCAGGCTACACTTCACTTTTCCCAAGGATTATACATTCTTTAAAGGCAGTGTTTATTGACCATGCACGGTCTGCCAAGGTCTACTCTCAGCATGTCACACATCTGATGGAAGGTGACATTGCCAGCAAAGCATGGAAGATGCCAGGGGTTTCTTATCACCTACCTCCCAGCCCCATGCTGGGTGTCCGCATTGAATGTTTACAGTTCTGTGTCTGACTTTCTTCTGCTTCTGTTTCGGAAAATATGGACCCCCCTGCCCCCAACACGGTTTATCTTTTGATTCACCACTGCTGTGAGACACCATTTGTGGTCCATGGAGAATGACTAAGCTGATAGGCCCTTGTGACTGGGCTATGGAAACATAGAAATGGGAGGTCAATTCTTTTTTAAATGAAGAATGGAGGCCTGAGAATGAAAGTGTCCAGGCTGAAACATGGTCGCAGGTTGTAATTTTCTTCTCTCTGGGGGAATCCAAGAAAACTATGAATTTCCTGTTGTGTCACAAAAGTACTTGTGAGCAACTGAAGTGGCTGTAGGATCCATCATAACAGCTATGCTATATGTGAGATGTGTGCCTGACAGCCATTGGCTCTGGAAAAGCACTCCACCCTAGGCCAACTATAGATCAGAGAACTGCCCACCTCGCCTCTGGCTATGCTCTCTCTCTCTCTCTCTCTCTCTCTCTCTCTCTCTCTCTCTCATCTCTTAAATGTGCTATTTAACATTTAGGGGCTGTGAGTGTCATCTTCCAGACACTTTATCAGTGATGTTTATGGTCAACAAGTGTTTATTGAGTACTCACATGGGCTAGCCACACTTGGTAGGCCAAAATGATAAGAATAAGTAGGAGGGAGGGAGGGAAGGAGGAATGGAGGGAGGGAGGGAGGGAGGACCAGGAGATACCATTGACAGGAAGAGCAAGACACCAGGATAATGAGAGGAGTATGTATAAAATGCTTCAAAGACCCCAAGATCCAAGAGGCCCTTACGTGTGAGAACTCCTAAGTGAATTTGTGGACAGGGTGAACTTGTGCTATACTCTGATGGCCCAGAAAGCAGATGGGGTCTCACACACATGCACACGCGCATACACAAATGCACACCACACAACTCAGACACAAAAGAGACACAGAAACAGGAACCTGTGGTCTAGCTCCTGTGAAGACCACAACATAAACATTGCCATTCACACCTGGCAGAGGTATCATTCTGTACCATGATGGGAGTGATGTTTCTCAAGGGTTGCCCTTGCACTTGCCCAGAGATTCTGGAGATTTCTGGGTCTTTGAATGCTGAGATCACAGTTGGTGTGTTTTGTGCTAAGACCTCTGCCAACATGAATTTGGAAGAAAGAGAAGGTGGGGAGGTGTGAGCAAGTTTACTGAACAGCAACATCCACAGTCCTCCCCATCTCTACAAGCACTTCCAGAATCCCAGGGCTTTGGCTACATCCTCGGGTGTTGGGTGTGAGCATCGCATTGCATTGCTCTAACCCTGAGACAGCAGCTAAATGGTCTGGAATTCCATACTCTTCTCTCTTCTGAACATGACTTCAACATTATAAGGCTTGAGCATTCAGGACAGGGAGCAGAAGCTCTGATAAATCCCTAAACCCTGGTCTCCTGGACATTTATGTCTCCTTGTGAGCAGAGGTAACAGGACTCTAGCTGTACCTCTCACACATGTAACTTGCTCATACAATTATCCCAGAATTCATCAAGGTCCTGTTTCTCTCACAATGGTTAAAAGTAAGATAATACCTAGTCTGCTTCCTGTTTTAGCAATAGCCATTGGTCTCTACACTTTTAAAAATCAAGATTAAATTAAATGGCTGATTAAAGCCAAAACCCTGAGTTCTGAATATTGAAATTTCCATTGCATGAAATAATTTTTGCCCAGACTATAATTTTGTAATCACAGTTCACTGAACTGATTGAATGGATCCAGTTTTACTCGGCGCTGTGTGGCTAATAAAGGCTAGCCTGAGCCAAACACCAGCTGGTTCAGGTTCAGTCCTACCATGCAGGCCTCACACTTTCAATGCAAAAATGGAAATATTTAGGAGATGCTGAAAACTGCTGTAAAACTGGAATTTGGGGAGGGGGTTCATAGTAATTAAACCAAATGGGTAAGGATGTGAAATGAAATCAAAACTTACTAAGTCTTTTGAAACAAACAAAAATGTCCTGAATACCTTGCTCAATGACTTGCAGAGCTGGGGTTCTCTCAAGACCCCCCATACAGTACCACATGTACAGTTGGGTCTTGTGACTGGTATTGGGACTCTTTGTTTGGATAACTGCTCCCCAAATATCTTCTCATTTGAGCATTCCCCAGTTGGATGCTGGGAGCTCCAGACTATCTGAGAGACCCTTAAAAATCAGTCACCGCAGATCCCTTTTCATAGTCAGGACAAATGATGACTGCCATAAGTCACATAATCCCAGAGTGAGATCAGATGCCTGTCACAGGGTCTCCCAGGCCGTGGTCCATGAGGGGTACAGATGTCTGTGGATGGGAATGTCCAGCCACAGGGCACATTCACATAGGACAAAACAGGTGACAGGGAAGATGTGAGATGAACAAAACACAGTAGGAACACAATGCTGAAGAGAAAACTGTACCTGTCTCTATTTGGCCAGGATATCTGAAGTAGATGGCCTCTGTGCAAACCAGATTCCAGGAACAGACAGCAGCATTAAATATGGGGAGGGTTTGTGTTATATGCATATCCCTGTGAAGCTGATGGTATACCCATTGCTTATAGACTTCTGGCAGGAGCCAGGACAGGGAGTATGCCCAGTTTGTGGACCAGGCTGGCAATGTCATCAACTGGCCAGCATCTTACTAAGGGTGTGAGAAAAGCCTGGGGGATCCAGACAACTGAGTTATATACTTAAGACCTGAAAGGGAGCAGATCTGGGGCCTGTAGGAAAATTTTTGAGAGCAGTGCCCACCTCCAGCAAGGCAAAACTAATCACCAGGGCATCCCAGGAGAGACTGTCAATACCAGACAATCCTGTTAACGTCTGAAAATTCTAGAAAAGTCCACTTGGAATTTTAGAATGGTGCTGGCATTTTGTAGCAAATTTTCATAGAATTAGAAATTAGACAAGGCATCTGAAAAATAAATTCAAAGAGCCAAGTTAGCTAATCAGAATTTTTTTTTTTTTTTTACACCGAAGGCCTAGGTTATTTCAGGTTCTTTGAAAATTTGCATTCTGGTGAGTACCAATCCTTATCTGCAGCTCTTAAGAGGACACTGTTGAAACTCTAACAAAATTAGGCAAGTATAGTGGTAAAGAGATTGAATTTTCCCTTCAAATTCCCTGCAATTACAGGAAGCTATTTACAATATAGTGATCCTCAGATAGGACCACTCCCTTTCACTAAAGCTGCTAAGTTCACCTACCATTAGCGGCTGCTTGTTAGCCACACTCCACCATGCTTTATCTCCCCCTGGCACTGTTTAATTTATACCTGTGGCAATCACTGCATCACATTACAAGAATTACCATATATTCGCATTGTGCTGAAGATTATAAATTGCAGTCTTTTATAGATACTTCAGCAGAATTGTGTTTTAAGGGGAGCACAACGATTAGGTATTCAAAGCTTCAAATTTCGTAGAACAAATCAGCTTTTTGTTACAACTTAAAGAAATGAAGTTAGTAAAAAACAAATACATTCATCCGTGGCTTCTTTAATTTTATCACACAAGATTGATTAAAATGAGCCCTTTTAAATATTATCAATCACTTGTGTTTCAGGATAGAATGAAATAGAAATTCCGCCTTCCAGTAGCTAAATATTCATCTTCTGGACGCCAAGACTGTTAATCATGTTCCTGCAGGCATCAGGTGTGAATGAGGGATGATGTGCTTTCTGCTCAAAGTCCTGCCCACATGCCCTTCCCTTTCTATCTCAACATCCTTCCCCCATCCCCCATCCCCCCACACCCTTCACTGCAGGCCTGAACCAAAATTGGAAAATCCCAGATTCAAAACATGATTTGACAGGTGGAAGACTCTACATCTGACCTCATGGGACAGGCCACAGGCAAAGAGGGAGTGGGTGAAAGCTAATATGGTATAGGAAGCATCAGCTGGCCAAGCATGGTAAAACTTGGGTCCCATCCCTCCATACAAGCAAATATCCCCAAGTCCAAAATAAAACGCAGTTCACCACCTTCTTTCCCCGAGCATTTCTAAAAGGGGCCTCCATATCCCTGACCTTCTCCCCCTCCGTTCTTCCTATCACAGCCTGAGGAAGACCCACATACCAAGACCAGTAACTTCCCACTCGCTTGAGGCTGAAGGGAAACCAGTGTGGCTTCATTTGCCCACTGATTAAATGTTCTAGGGTTTAGCTTTTCGAACATCCTAGAAGTAATCTAGGATTAGACAGTATCGGGTGATCAACACGTGCTCAGAAGTGAGTATATATATATGGTTCAACATGGCGAGAGTGATGTGTGGACTAAAACATGCCTTCGGGTGGCTCAAGAGTCTGTCACAGACTCAGCTGTTTGCTGTAAGAGATTCAGACAGACTAGATTCTCTCTCATCTTCCACAAATGTGGAATTTTCCACGATCAATTGTTTTTAGAGAATAAAAATCCACAAGGAGGAGGGAAGGAACGAACGATGGAAGGAAGGGAGGGAGGGATGGATGGACAGATGGACAGCTGGACAGAGGGAGAGAAAGCACACCCAAATGAAAAGTGTTTAATTGCTTTCAAGAGTGTATGATAGTCAACAGCCCACCCTGGCTTTGAACAGGCCAAGGTTGCCTTCTGATTGGCCTCTGAGTTGCCTAGTCTCAAACTCTCCCTCATCAGCCCACTATTTCTAAAACTTGTCTGAGCTCTCTCTCTCTCTCTCTCTCTCTCTCTCTCTCTCTCTCTCTCTCTCTCTCTTCAAGCCTGGCTAAGGAAGGTTATGGAAGCAGCTATAGCTGGCTTAGCAGGTCAAACATTTTGATGCCAGCATTTGGAATATGTAGAATGTTTTTGTCTCTGCATGCTTGGTGCTCCAACCCATTCCTCGCTTAATGATAATACAGTGGACTTTTCCACTGAGCGCATCTTCAGCCCTCAAAAAAATTGGCCCTGAAACTGGTTGCTGCCGTCACTGGTTTTTGGACAGCTAGTCTAAGAGGAGTAAAGCTTAGGGAACTGAGACTGTGTCTCCAAATCTCAATTTCATTCCCTGGGGATGGTGGTTGGGCTGTGTTGTAGAAGGCACCATAGATTACCATAGTTCCTTCTTGTGGGTCCTCCACTGGCCTGAAAGGTCTTTTGACTTTACTCAATAAAACCTCCAGAGTATGAACAACCAGTTAAAATGCATAGTTCTCCAGGGCATAGCAATGGGTCCCTTGTCTCTGCTTTCCTGAGGGACAGAACCCAGGACACCTGCCCTCCTCTCCCTTGGCTACTTTCCCCAGACAGGACACACAGCAGACAGATGCTAATCATAGCTCTCTTCCAGAAAAGCCTGGGAGAACAGATCCAACCCACGATGATTTGTTTCAAGCACTTGGAACAGGGTGGATATCTGCTCTACAAGGAGGCTTGGAGGGGAAACTCACAGGTGGCAACTAACCCTGACCATGAAGCAGTGACAGAGACAGAAGTCCAGAACACTGCACTGTATGAGGTGGGGGGGGGGCATACGAATGGGAGCAGGTGAGGGAAACTGCAGAGACAAAAGGGTGCAGCAGGAAGAAAGGTTCCCACTGACTCCAGATGTGACTGGGACCCACAACGCTATTTTCAGGGTGATGCGGCACTCACAGGAAAGTGAAGGAACAATGAGAAAGCTCAAGGGCGAGAGCCAGAGTTTTTCCCTTATGCTTTCTTAGGCGAAGTCTTCCATTGTCCTGATCTAAATCTAGAGTCACAATGTGCTAACTCCTTCCCATGGATGAAAAGGCACCCTTAACTATTTTTAAAATTTAAAATTTGGCTTACCACATAATGGCATTGAGGATCAGGAATCCTTTGTTAACCCAAAGCTGAGAGCTGCTGGAGGCATGGTTAGTCAGGTAACATTAAGCTCACAAAGGGTCTGGTAAGTCAGTGGGCCTGACTATTGTGTGGCTCATGACCCTATGGCCGATTCTGAGACATGGCAGGACCTTCCTGGGTGGATGCCCTGTGTAGCTCCTCTGTATGAAGCACAGCTCATGCCATTGCTACCCTCAGTTCACTGGAATGTTGAACTGAATTCTGTAAGATGGCAGACACCAGCGTGCTTTTGCTGAAATTGAGGAAGTGACCATTTCAGTACTATTCCCTGGGTCTTCTGGAGCCCATGGCTACTCAACAAGGGCTCACTTGAGCATCAGAGCTCAACAAACTCAGGGCCCAAAATAAGATCCTGTAGTGCCCACCTCCTTAGTGAGCTACACCATCCCCAGCATCCAGTGATAACACCTCATGGCTGGCATTGGGTTAACTTTGTGTGTGCCCGTGCACTGGGAAGGAATGGGATTTCTGCTGATGGATGTGTTCAGCATGGTCCACACCAAAGCTTTGACCCCAGGAAAGAGGCCCCAGCTCACTGACACAGCTCGTTCTTGGTTTTGTTATTACTGACTAGGTCCTGATATGTCCTGTGTCTCACAGTTCTAGGAAAGATCAGGAGTGCTGTCGGGAGTGCTCAGCTGCTCATGTCCCAGAAATTCCAGCAGTTCTACTGGCTTTGCCAGCAGAATATGGTAAGTAGCACCGCAGCCCCACCCCGTGAGTGCTGAGACATGTCCAGCCTGCATTCTCATAGACTCCCTGTTCCTTTTCAGTTGCTGTGACAAAGCACCCCAATCAAGGCAACGTATAGAAGGGTTTACTAGGGGTTCACAGTTTTGGACGGTGTGTTCATGTAGTGGGGAGCATGGAGGCAGACAGGCAGGCATGGCACTAGGGCAGTAGCTGAGAATCTACATCCTTCTCAAGCTACAGGCAGAGAGAGCTAACTGGAAATGGCCTGAACTTCGGAAACCTCAAAATCTACCCTCAGTGACACACCTCCTAATCCTTCCCCAAACAGTTCAACCAGGTGTGGGCCGAGAATTCAGACATATAACCCCATGTGGGTGTTTTTATTCAGACTACCATGCTCCTCATTGGTTGAAGTGCCCTTAAGCAGGAAGAGGGGGTGAGAGAGAACATAGCCCAGCCCTGGACCCACTTTCCAACTCTGGAGATGCACAAATAACCTCTCAGCCTTAGGGACCTACACTCCACCTCGGACCTATACCCTGGCTCTGAAGACATACCTAAGGCCCAGAAATCCATACATCTTGCCTTGGGGACCCATACACATATCTCCGAGGACCAACATCCCTTCCCTAGAGACCTATACCCTATCTGGAACTCACACACCTTCCCCTAGTTATCTACATTCAGGCCCCAGCAACTCACACCTTAGGCCCAGGTTCCAGCTGGAAGCTAGGACTTGGAAGCTAGGTAAGTAGGGCATGCAGATGAGAGGGAGAATCTGACTGTACCTTTTCTACTGGCTCTTCTCCCAGAAAATATCAGAAGAGGAGGAAGCAAATTAATTGCTGTGATGGCCAAGGTCACAAGTAAAGAAAATCATCTGTGGGGGTGTTGAGCAAAGACTCATATTCATGTGAAGAGATTAAGAAGAGATCTTAGAAGTCATTTGCTCTTTGCATGTCTTATAGTCAGGACAGAAATTAATGTGTCTTGAGCTAGATTTGTGAATGTATTTGGCATAGATCCTGGGTCTTCCTAGAAAAGAGATGAGAAACCCACGTGTGTGTGTGTGTGTGTGTGTGTGTGTGTGTGTGTGTGTGTGTGTTTATATACCTGCATGTATGTTTATATGTACTAATCTTCATGAATCCACATATGCATGCACACACATTGTTTGGGTTTTGTATGACTAAATTACTCATGTAATTCCATGAGAAACAGCTGAATTGTATCCATGGTTCTTTATAGGCAATTTTACAGTCCAGCTTCTTAATTCCAAACATTTTCTCTTAAAGGCAAACACCTTGGGGTGAGGGTGGGGGGTTTGTCATGGCAAAGGCAGTGGCTGTTCTGAAGATGCTCTACTTGTCAGCTTGTGAATTTATAGCCTGCTCCACTTCAGGTTCAGCCCCTCAGAGCTGCAGATCCAGGTCTTTCTTTAGGGCCATTAAGGATAATGTCTTCTCTAACATTTTCCAGCTAGCCCATTAAAGTTCATCATGAGGTTTAGCATTACAACATGGCACCTTTGGCATGAAGCTTTGTCGACATTTAAAGAGCGATCTGGAAGGTTTGCAACCTTGAACAATGAAGGTTGATAAATGTTTGGCTATTAAGTATAGCACTGCCTTCCTCTGCATACTATCTTTGCAAGATCAGCTTGATCATAAGGAATGCTATGTGCTATATAGTTGTAGTTAGGGTGGCCAGACAGCCTCTGGCTTCTCCATACAGACCCTGCTGCATCAAAACAGAGCTTATGAAATGCACACCTCTTCTGCACCCAATGCCCTGATTTAGGCTTGGCATGATCCACCCTGACATCTTTGGTGCCTTTCAAATTCACATCTGGCTGGCTCTTTTGACTTCTCTTGGGGATATCTAAGACCCTTGTTGGGGAATGGTGTCAGAAGACACAAGCAAAAGACAGAGCATATTATTTGCCCTCAAAGCTGTGGTTCGTGGTTGCTGGGAACACTTATTGGTAAACATCTTAGGTAGTTTGCCAATTGTTAAAATCTAAGAAATAACCCAAGGGAAAGGCAGACCCCACTCAGGTTTCTTGAAGTTGTGCAGATGTGGACAGTTTGTGATGTAGCCACAATGTAGCTATCCCTCTTCCCTCCACACACTCAAGCAGAAAAAGACAGAAAGCCAGGTTTATCTTAGAAGGAAGCTTACACTGTCTGATTCTGCTTCAGCATGGACAGAAGTCGCCCTCTAGTGGTTCAATATAAGAACAGGCCCAAACAGCAGAGCCTAACTCTGGATCCTACTTAGGAGGAAAAGGACACACTGAATACACCTTCTATACCCATCCTGACCCCACCCCCGCCCCTGTGACCCTTCCTGGTGCCATAGGCTGTTATTTGGCACCTGTGGAAATGCAATGGTACCTAACAGGTATAGTTTTTCTATGTGAGCATCAGCTCGGGCTAAAGAAACTGCAAACCAAACAATGTTCAACTCGAACTATTAATGAAATTTGGGCAATTTAAGCACAATTCAAACAAATATCTGATTGTGTGAAGCCACAGTAAAAGTCAACTCACACTGCAGCAAGGGAACCACACAGAGAACTGGCACACAGTTCTCGGCTTAAGAACCAATTGGACCATACATTGTGCAGAAATAAAGTGTGCATCTTAGACTCAGAACCAGGCCGGGATCTGCCTGTGATGGCTGAGTGGTACCCTCTGGGCAGGCTAAGTTGGGGAGTGGTGTTCTTGAATCCTCTGTTCCTTCAAGAGACTGACATGCTCTTTATGGGAAAAGACTAAAGTCACACTTGAACTTCAGAAGAGCTAGGAGCCCCCAAAACAAACACCATGAAATAAATGGCTGCAATCCCAATGGCCTTGCCACCAGACAAGTGTAGCCCTGACTCTTCTGAGTAAGTCACAGGGCTCTACTGCATCTATGAGCTGCAAACCATCTGAAGGGTATAACCCCCAAAATTTAAGCATACTTGGCAAGTACTCTACCACTGAGCTACATCTAGCCTCCCAGATTTTCAGAATTAAACATTGAAGGGCTCTGCTGTGTGGTTTGAAGCTGATGGCACATGCCTGGGTTAAGGTTAACTTTTATGGAGTCATGGGCATCTCCTGAGTTGTTTTAGATAAGTGGAGCTCCTCCTCGTCTGATTCCTTGAGTGACATAGAAAGAGCATCCCCTGTAACATCTCTGTGCATCCACAGGACCCCAGCGCCATGCCAAGGCCAACATCACAGGATCTGGCTGGCTATTGGGATATGCTACAGCTGTCTGTGGAAGACGTCAGCATGAAGTTTGATGAACTGCACCAGCTGAAACTCAGTGACTGGAAAATAATAGAATCACCCGAAAGAAAGGTAATGAAGTCACGTGGTGTGGTGGGGTCTTGGGCACTGTTTATGGGCTTTTGGTACCTGCTGTAGTGCCAGATGGTAGCCAATTTCTCCACCATTAGTTATTGATACAGGATCTAAGTGTGTGTGTGTGTGTGTGTGTGTGTGTGTGTGTGTTGCAAATTCATACACAAACAGACAAGATAGGGGGCCTGGGTATGTGAACAGCAGTAGGTGTCTTGCTATACCTCCAGGACACAAACATCTCAGAGACACCACTAAAGATCACTACATTCTATAATCTAGCTTCCTCCAGAGATAAATCCTGGCTCATTTTCATCCAACTTCTGCTTGGATTGTATTAAATGATCTCCCACATGATCTCCCACAGCTAAGATCTTAGGTCTGGCTGAGATGAGAATCTTGTATTCAAATACACCTCCCTGGTGCATGTAGGGAGGGAAGGACAAGACAGCATGTAAGTCTTCCCAAGCAATCTGAGGGTGTGGCCTTCCTATGGGGCTCCATCCTTAAATAGGCTGAAAATTGGCATTCGGCCTGAACATTGACTCTCTGCTTAGTGACGACGATGTCATCTCAGGAGAGCATTGGAGGAAGTCTAAGTCAACACTACATGTGCCTTCTCTCAGGCTACCCAGAGAAGCGATCATGGCCTGAGTTTTCTAGACAGGTACCACCCATTATAGCTAGAAGGGCCAGTGAGATGGCCCAGTGGGCAAAGGTATTTGCTACTAACCTTGAAGCTTACATGATGGAAGAGAGAACCAACTCCTGGATGGTTGTCTTCTGATCGCCACAAGTGCACTGCGGCACTCGTGTTCACCCTCAGGCATGCATGCATACATAGACATGCCAAATACATGTTTCTTTTACTAACTTCCTGTTAGATGTGGGAGTATATGCCTCAGAGTCCAAAATTAAAAAGCTGGGGCAGGAGGATTGTTGGTTTGAGACCAGCCTGGAATAAACAGTGGGACTGTGCCTCAAAATGAAGTAAAACAAAGTTAGAAGGAAAACGGGTTAACAATAGTTTGGGGAATTACGTCCAATGTGTGAGTGAGAATAGGTAGCTAAGTGGTTAGAATGAAAGCCAGTGAAGGCACTAACTGTTCAGTGGTTAAAACCAACAGCCATAGATGTCCCTGAGGACAGCGAACAAACTCCTACCAAATAATGGGAGGGTGTGTGAACACAGAAGCAAATCCACACTACCCATGATTCTGAAGAGGCGAGAAGATAGCAGAGAATGGAATGATGAAATCAATGCTCTCCAACCCAGCCCCATGCAGGCCCCCATGGGACCAGTGGGACCAGTGGTTGAGCAGGAGCCCACAAGGAGCAAGTCTCCTGTGAAACATGCTCTTCTCAGGACACTCACCCCAATGCAGAGCGGCAGGCCCCTGCCTTAAAGAAAAGCTTGTCCCTTCTAGGGACTTCCTGAAGACAGAGTTCCAAGCCTTGCAAGGTCCCTGTCCCCTCCTCCCCCACCCACACCCCTCTGCTACAGCCTGTATGCTCTGACCCTTGCAAAAGGAGTTCACAGGAAGTGACCATTTCTCACGGGTGCACATTGCAGAGCTACTGAGAGAGGAGGAGAGATACCAATAACTGTGCACTTCATGTGAGAGTCGGATTTCTAAGTAGCTTATGAGGCACACCAGGAAGTTGAAGGTGGGCCATAGCTTCAGGCCTTAGGAACAAATTTCAGACACCCAAGACTTTTCCAACATCAGAGGCCACTGTGGGCTTGGGCACACACTACCCTGCTTCCTGTACCAAACACAGTTCAAGCACGGAGACCCAGGGGACCTCTCTCTGCTTAGACAGAGGGATCTCACAATATACAAGGTAATATTTGCCTTCAGGAACATTGTCCCAGACTGCAAGCCCTTCACTAAACAGGTTGCAAACCCTTTGCTTTGTATGTGTTTCCAATCTGCCCGAGTTATCTCTCTGGATATGCATTTATTTTTGGATGTGAGTTGTTTGAGACTTAAAGCTAGGGAATATATGTGCACAGATTTGCTATTATATATATGTGTTTACAGTAAAGTCTGTGTGGATTTAGGTTCATGATTGAGAATTTAGCTGAGGGATCCCTGGGGCTCCTGTCCACATAAGCTTTGCGTGCACATGCATACTGTCACACAAACATCAAGCGGCTACTTCCACATTCCCTCAAGACATTTGCTACCACTCAGGTAGGACAGTGCTTTAGTGCTTTGGAAAATATGGGGATGAGGGAGAAGTCCAATTTGCCCAGAGCTAGGGGCATTTATTTGATGAGATGCAGCTTTTTTCTTTCTTCCTTTCTTTCTTTTTTGAGACAGGGTTTCTCTGTGTAGTTTTGTAGACCAGGCTGGCCTTGAACTCACACAGATCTGCCTGCCTCTGCCTCCCGAGTGCTGGGATTAAAGGCATGCACCACCACCACCCAGCTACAGCTTATTTTCTTATCCACAGATACAGCCCCAAACTCTTCAGTCTCCATTTAAAAAAAAAATCAGAAGTTTAGAAGGGTAATCCCCCCCCCAAAAAAAAAAAGTGAAAAAGTTAATGCTGTAAGCTGAAGCTGCCTCATCTGGGCATCGGTGGAGGTGAATTTGGCAATGCCTGCAGGCACAAGGCATCAGAGGGAGCCTGGGTGAACCAGGGCTCTGGGACTCAGCATATCCAGTGTGCCCCTGACCTCCCTGTGACTTTCCTTAGTCCTCCCTTGACCTCCTCTCCACCTCCCTCTGACTTCCTCATCTCCTCAAGACTCTCCATGACCTTGCCATGACCACTCCCATCTCTCCTCTGACCTCCTCCCACTTCCCACCTCTCTCCTGACCTTCCCCAGTCTTCCTCCCCTGCTCTTCAGATTTCCTACCTCTTGCCTCTGTGAACTCTCCATGACTTTCCTTCACCTCTGACCTCATCTGATTTGTGATGCTTTTCAGGAAGAAAGGAAGATCCCCCCTCCAATACCAAAGAAGCCCCCCAAGGGGAAATTCCCCATCACAAGGGAAAAGTCCCTGGACCTGCCAGACCGACAGCGCCAAGAAGCCCGGCGCCGGCTAATGGCAGCCAAGAGAGCCGCCTCCTTCCGCCAGAACTCTGCCACGGAGAGGGCAGACAGCATTGAGATCTATATCCCTGAGGCCCAGACTCGGCTCTGAGGACCAGAGGTGGCCACACACGCCTGGTTTTGTTCTTTTACACAAAATGCTTGTACAGTTTATTGCCTACCTGGTAGTTTCTGTCTCACCCTCCACCGGATTCGCCCTTGCCGTGTTCTCTGCACTGTAGACAGTGGACACTCCGATTCCTAGTTTGCTGAGCTCATGGCAAGACTGACTGAAGGACATCGGCTCTGAGGAACAGGCTTGGTGAGGCCTGACTTACCTCCCTGTTCGAAGAGGGCCGCCCAGTGGCCTCTTGCGATGGAACCTAGCTTTCACTTTGTTACTTATATTTTTATAAATTGTGTGATAACCAGAGGTCACTACAAACGGGTGCATCTCCCCACTCTTGAGAGGCATTAGACATCCAAGTGGAAGGTGCTACAATTCGAAGGGCAGGAAAGACAGAGAAACCTGTTCCCTCTCATCTGAGTTACTCCCCCCAGCTAAGTTGTCCCAAGTCCCTGCTGTCCTCACAGGTCCTGCCAGCACAGGAAGCACTCGGTTCCTTGGTTGACATTTTGTGATGATGGAAAAGGGTCTCTCTGAGATCTCCACCATGTGGCTCTCCAAAAGGAAATGACAAGGCTGAACCCCCCCCAAAAAAAAATAACTAGCATAGAATCTTTATATTCAAAAGCTAAGCTGAATGTTCCTCTAAGAGAGGGAGCCATGGAAAGGGCTGACAGGAGCCCAGAGAATACAAAGGAAATTAAGAAATAGTCATGGTATTTTTATCCCTTTGTAATGTAAACCATTACACATAGCGTTTTCTTAAACTTCACTGCTTAAGCTACATGTACTTTTTATGTATGTTACACGTGTTCTTGAACTACTATTACTTGACTTTCCAGGGTACCTTTAAATGAGTTTGCTTGTTTATGATGACAGTTGTGATGTTGTAAAGCATATAAGAAACATGAATGTGAGTGGTAAGTATATAAGTGAAAATGGTAAAGAAGAAAAAAATAGTTTATTACTTGTATTTTTCCAGAATTCTTTTGGTCCTATGCAGTACTGTTGAAGTTAAGAATATATTTCTTGCCTGTGTTAGACATGAAAGTGGGGGGAAAGGGTCATGCATGGTAATTTCCAGCTGTGGAATATAAGCAAGATTATTAGTCATGACTGAGGGTACCGGGAAGAGAAAGTTTGGCTCTGATTAGTAGGCTTTGTGTAGACTATAGGTACATGCTCAGAGTCATTGTAACCAGACTTTTGCAAAGAAGATCAGATGCCACACAGAGCCATCAGATTGCCCATGGCCCTGACCTCAGAGTTCTTTGTTGTTCAAGTACAGGCAGGGTTCCACTCCATCCCAGGTCTTCCCTCTTAATGCGTGAGGAGCGCTATGCGCTTAGCCTTAGGAGCAAAGCTTTGACAGCCCTGTCGCACTTTGTGTTCTCCCCGTGACTCGCACTTTAAACCATTTCCCAGGGCCCCCTCTGCAGCCTGACTACATCACTGGTCACTGCATGGGTACCCAGCAAGGCAGCCTTGCTGCTGGGATGTTGCTAAGACAACACCGGCCTCTTCCTCATCCTCTACATTCCACTACGCATGGGGGGGCAACGGTTGATGTTATAGCATGTAAAGCCTCAAAGTTTTACTTTTTTAAAGCTGAGTAGTTAATTCCCTCTAATAGCAAAACCCTATAAATTGAGCCTTGTTTCTGGTATATATTTTACCAAACAGCCTTAAAATATATTTGGAAGCAAAAATCATACGAATGTATATCCTTTAAAAAATGCAAAAAAAAAAAGTTCCCAAAATATTCTTCTATCACCAAACCCTATTTCCCCAGAGTGTTCAAAGCATTTTCTACCTAAATAAATATGTAAATCCTAAATAGTGTACAGTAACTATGCTTCCTCCTGTATTCATGCCACTGTGTTAAAAAAAAAAAAAAGAATATGTTGTAAGCACTGATACTTCAGACGTTGAAAGTGATGTATCCTAGAGGAGCTCTCTATAAGCAAGGAGTGGTAAGCAGGTCTAATGTACATCCCCCTAGCTAAAGGAAATGGAGAATGCAAACACCCCTGCTGCCCACGCCCATGAGTCTATCTGGCAGCCTTTCCTATCATTTCATCAAATGTTACACATAGAAACAAATTGTAACATTAGACAATCCTTACTTGTCTTAAACCCAAAATTCTATGGACCCAACTTGAACAAAGTATCCATTAGATTTTGGTTAATTATGTTGCCTATATTCATCTGAAGTTACCCAAAGTCTTTGCCTAAACTTCCCCTAGCTGAGCAAATCTTCCTTCCCTGAGTTGCATGGTGGCCCCCTCTTAGAAATGAAAAAGAAAAAAAAAAAAAAGCGTCCCTGTCTGGTTCACTAGGTTCCAAAGATTATTATGTAATGACCGAACAAACACATGCTGCTAGTTTTGATGGAGTGTTAGCTGTTCGAGCCCCCTCGTTAAGTGCACTACCTTTGGTTCTCAGGCGGGTGACACTCTGCTATGGAACAAGAAGATAAGCCATGTTTACACTGCATCATCCAAGCAAAGGCAAACAGCATTGGTCACAGATGCATGCTGTTCCCCCCGGCTCCTTATTCCAGTTGCTTTTGGAGGTCATGATGTGGAGTTCTCCTGTGGTCCTGTCCTCTCATCCAAAATATGCAACAGATGAAAAGCTGATACAAGGGCATGGCTATAACCCAGTGCCGTCCATGTTATCTGTGACAGCACACCTGTGCTCCTAGAGATGCCACCAACAACTGGAGAGACTTGTGTGTCTTCATTTCAGAATCGCTTCCTCACACCATCGGGCTGTTGTGGACTGGACTGTGCTGAGCTATGGAGAACGGCAGGGGCGGGGGGGGGGGGGTGGCGCACAGATGGAGAGTGGAACCAGGAGAAAGAATGCCACTGAGGAACTCCCATGGGCATCTCTATTTGTTCCTGTTTCCAGTTTTTACCCCACCCCCTAGAATGGTGTAGAAAGCATCCAACTTGTTTTAAACCCAGAAATCACCTTGATGAAATGGAAATGCCCACACTTTTGACTTCAAACCACATCTGAAGATTTTAAGCATTTAATAGGAAGTTAATTCCTTAGAAAAAAATTCAAATTGTTTCTGACTTCCCCGGAAAAAAAAAAATACACAAAACAGCAAGCTGCAAAGAGGCTCTCTTCCAACTAGCCTTTAAAGAAATGTCCAAGTTATGATTAGAATAACACAAAATGTACACAATGCATACGATGGATCCTGTTTCTTGGGGTGTCTGTCCCAGTTCACCCCATCTTGACTTCTGCCTTTTGTTACCATATTGAGCAAACAGTTTTACCCTAACTTAAATCTGCTGCCTCTGTGTGCTCACTACACAACCCCAATCTTAGGGCCCCGGGATGAGATTTCTGTGGAAATATGGTGACATCGTGGACACATGGTCCAAGTGCCTGTAGCAACTGTAGAACTTAGCCTTAGAAATAGCTGTCTGGTTTGGGCCGAACCGTGTGTGTGTGTGTGTGTGTGTGTGTGTGTGTGTGTGTGTGTGTGTGTAAGACAAAGTCTCACTGTGTATAGTACAAACTAGTCTCAAATTCTCACTTGTCCAGCCTCTTTCTTCTGGGATTATAGACACACACCCAGTCATGGTCCAGGACGTCAGGCAGCAGAGATGGGATGCAGTGAAAAGAGAGATGAATACTTAGCAATGGATTGTGGGATATTCCGGCTTAAGCCAGCCTTTCTGTGTCTCTGAAGAGCTGGAAGCCAGTCACCCTTTGAAGGGCACACATGCCAGGAGGCCCTGCTTCAGCTGCTTTCTCCCGAAGTGTCAGTCACCTTGCTCAGGGTTCCCTGACCACAGCTCCAGGATGTCTACATAGACAGAAGCTGACAAGTGGTGGCTCAGATAGACTCAGGCTGACAAGTTCGTGGACTGCAGCTGTTGTTGGCAGAGGCATTCCCTCAGAATGTTGGAGTGGCAGCAGCAGTCCCCTGAGGGCCTGTGTCTGGCTTGAAGGATGCTGGCTGTCTGGAGCAATACTGGACTTGAGAGGACACTGAGGCACCATGCTCACCCCACCAGCGACATACTTGACATACTTTCCTAAGTTGTGTGTTCTCCTCACCCAGCCACTTTCTTCTCTAGCCTTCATAGTTACCCCTATTATTTTTTATAGTTTTCAAACTTTGTTTGCTGGAAGTTTTGAGGAGTTCCTTATTTTTACCCACTCACTGTTTATACTTCTAAGTAGGATTGGATCAAACCTGGGGTTCTAGACCCAGTAAACTGCAGGCTTAAGAGATCAAGAATATAATTGCCTCTGATTAGCAGTGGCCCCAGCCACACTGGTGAGCAATGAACTTTGCACTAACTCATCCCGTTACTGCCCGTCATGAACATACCACATCAGCTGAAGTCATCCCTGTGCCCTTGGGCTGCGTGTGCCTCTGTGGTGAGTGGAAAGGAGCAGCAAACTGAAGGCAGTGAACCTCCCAGCCAGGCTAGTTGCCCTCTACACAGAGTGGCTGCGGGAAGTTTGAGATGTGCCCTGAGACCCAGCCAAGCTGCCAGAACTTATGCATGCAATGGCTAGCAACTTGTTTTCACTCAGGTCCCTGTTTTTTCTTCCATGTGGCATTAGTGTTACTGTTCCTACCTCCCACACAGACAGACACAGTGTAAGGATTTGGTGGCATATGGCCTCTGGCATCTTGGAGCTTAGAGGTTTATGGTGAATGGGTATCATTTGGGATTTGTGCTCTGGCTCTACAGTGAGTGTCATGGTCCAATCTTTGCAGGAAGCTGGCAGAGCCAGCCAAAGCACAATGGCAGGGACATTTGCTTTAGGGTCCTGTCCTGCCTAGGCAGGAGAAAAAGCAAGATGGGATGTAATCACCAGGGACTTCTTTTCCTGCTGGCTGTGACTTAATTTCTATACTCGTCCATGAACAAGAACCGATAACACCCCCAAGAATTGGGCGATGTTCTCGCCATCTTACCAGCCCAGCTCCCTCCTAGATGAAGCAAACAGATGATATCTATACAGGAAAGTGATGAAAGAACAATTCCACCTAGAGAACAGAAGGGTGTGCATATGAAGAGCACCAGAGTGAACTCGGCCCTGCAGCACACCCCAAGTCCCCCCATTGCCATCGGTCCTCCTCCCACTGCAGAGATGAGCACACAGACACTCTGAGAAGCCGCCTTCCCATTCTCACCACACTGAAAAACACCACCACCTATGAGTTGCTGTCCTAACTCTGGTGTTTTGATCCAATGTTTAAAAAAAAAAAAATGACCCTGTTTCCGTCTCAACAGCTGACAGCTGACTCTGTTACAGAGGACATATTAGTTACCTACAAAACTACTACTTTTTAAAAGATTTTTGTATACACGCAAATCAAGGTAACAATGGTTACCTCCCAATTTTCTTAGATTTTAGGAGACTCTTAATTCATTGGTGCTTATTCTGAATTTGAAAGACTTGGGCTCCAAGACGTCCCATGTGTGGCACAAGAGAGATGGTCACAGAGAAAGTTATGGCAGGATTCATGAACCTG